ATGATATAATATATATTATTACTTATTAATGTAACTGTTTAATTTGTTTTGTAGAGAAAGAGTTAATAGCTCAATTTTCTACTATATCAAGTGACTCCAAAAAAGATAAATGATAATCGATAAGGCTAAATGGGTTTTGTCTTTTGACTTTAAAAATTAGAATTATTGATCCTTGTGCATTTAGCATTTGCTATTAAAATATTTGTCTTTGTATTACTCAAAGATTTAAACTTTTAGAATGATGCTATTTAAGTACTTATGTTAAATTAGAATGAGATGAAAATCATATGTTTTGATTCTTTTTTCTTTTTTCTTTTAAGAAAATGGGTGCTGTGGGTAAATGGGTGGCTCAGACCTGCCCATACCTGTTAGGGGTATAAGTGGGTACGAGTGGGTGGCTACCCGTTTACTCATAAATGGGTGGGTAATGGGTATAGCCACGGGTGGCTAGTACTTGCCTGTTTACACCCCTAATTTCAATGCATTTTAATTTAACCATTTGAACTGGCGCATGCTATGGGACTGAAGGTGATATTGATAGTGACAGTGGCATAAAATGAAGGGAAAATTATACAAAGGTCCCATGAAGTGGATTTAATTTTAAATAAGTTTTACAAAATTTAAAAATTGGATCTCCTGAAACTTAAATATAATTTAAAATTATGATATAAAGACAATATTGTTTTTATTAAAAATATTAAAGTTACAGCTATAAAATATTGAAGCAATAATTATAAATTACTATAAACAATTAATGATAAAATTTATTAGTAATGCATTATCGGTTTAACTATTTAATATGTAAAGTTATAATTGTAAAATGTTAAAATGATAATTGTAAATTACTAATGAAATAGTTATATATAATTTGTATTAAACTTATAATATATGATTAATTTAATTATTGAATATGTGAAGTTATAATTATAAAAAGTTAAAATAATAATTGTAAATTATTGATAAAATAAATATAAATTATTTAATTGATGTAATATATTTTTAATAGAGGCATTACTATCTTTGCATTCTAATTTTAACTTAGATTATAGTCTCAAGAAATTTGGCTTAGTTTTTAAATTTTGTTTATGTATCTTTTTCTAAATGAATGCATTTGATGTCAACATTTCTAAAAGAAAAATTGAGGAAAAATGGTTTTTAGCCCATTATTTTATCCCATTAAAATTCATTATGTTTTTTATTGATATTTTCATTTTTATTTCTATTCCTATACAAAATTATCAATTTTATCAAATCGTTGTTCATTAATGAATGTATTGATTTATTATATATTATTTATCTTTTAGCTGATATTTAATTGATCTTTATATGTATAAAAATTATATAATATTTTTGTTAGGCAAACATTTATTACTTTCTTCCTAAATTATAATACACTTTTCAGAAAGATTCAATGTTTCAAAATATAAAATACTTTAAAAGCTCTAAGATTTTATTAATGATTTTTTTAATATTATCCTAAAAAATATTCTCCCTTTTTAATGTTTTTTTTATAAATAAAGTATTAAATTTAGGGTGTTTTTGATAGTTTATATTTTTATCTTAAAAAAATAAGGTTATAAATTACATTTAATAAATTTTATTAGTATGTATGATTTTGTTTAAAAGTATTTTATTATTTAAGATGGAAGGGTTATACACTCTTCATTAAAAAATGTAAGGTATTTTTAATTGAATTTTACTATTCAATAAAGTAATTACTTATTTTTAAACTAATCCTATCTTTTTCATATTTACCCTCATTTAATAGGGTATTTCACCCTAAAACAAACATAAAGTGATTTATTTAATATAAATACTTTTTTAAAAAAAGATAATGATTATATCTTAAAAGAATAAAAATATTTTATATATTTTAATATTCAACCTTCAAAAAAAAAATTTACATCTTTACATAAAAGGAGTAATATTTACCACATATATTTATACTTTCAACTTTTAAGCTCATAACTGGGAATTGAATTTGAATCCAAATTAGGGCTCGGCCTTGGAGGAGAGGAGGGAGTTAAGAGAGTGGCAATGGATCACGTGTTATTGAAAGAGCTTCTTACTCTATTTATCTTCCGAACTCCCACACCCAGTCCTAGTGAACATGTTCCTTTCATTTGGGAGGGTGCGAACAAATAAGTACGCGACAGACATAATTGGATGCATGCTCGCGTATGATCCGCTTCTTATTGCGGCTTTGCTACTTATATACAAATGAGATTTTTACTATACACAGAGTGTATTTTTTTTATTAAGATTTATTTTAGTAAAATTAAAATTTAAGAAATATCTTGTAATTAAATTTGGTATAAAAAATAAATCTCATTTTTTTTAACAAGAATTAATTTCCTCTATTAACAACTCTAAAAAATTAACTTAGTGGTATAGAGAGGAATAAATATTGTGATTTAGTAAATAAGTTCTCAAGAAAAAAATAAATCTTATTTTGTTTTAATAACAATAAACTCCTTCATTAACAACTTCAAATTATTAACTTCAAGGTTGAGAGGAAGTGCATGTTTTATTCTAGTAACAAATCTCTATTAAAAAAAAAGGTTTCATTTCCATTGTAATAATAATAAATTCTCTTATCACAATAAATATATAATATATATATAACGGGTAGTTTTATATTTTTAAAATAAATTTTAATTACATTTAAGTCTTTTGATCTTACAGGGCAATATTAAAATTGTCTGGTCCTAAAGAATAATTATTTTGTCAACTGGTCCTTAATTGCGATTTTCCTTCTTTAATTTTAGAGCCACCATAGTCTCCCAAGGAAGGTGAGAGATGCGTGTCTCCCACGCAACCTCGATGCTTTGCCATTGGCATGATCTCGTACACATAGCATACAATCCTTTTCTTGTCGCAGCAGTGCCTTGGGGATGAATTGAACCCCAAGTTAGAAAAACAAAACCTGCCCGCCCGAGTTGGAATCCTAGAACAAAATTAAAGTGGTACTGTGAATTTGCATGAATTTTAATATGAGCTGCATTATATATGACTTACAAATTATACAATTTTCTTCAATTTGTGTGAATATATTAATATTGATTATTGTAAAGGCCTTCTCTTCTTTTTAACCAAACTTAACATGGTTTTTGTTAGAGAAGTTTGTGGGGCGGGGATTGAAAAGGAAGAGGGAAGTACAAGAGGGTACGGAATGCATGGATTTGGCAGCTGAAGACCTTAAAAACCTCTTTCTGTAGAATCCCAAATGTAAATATCAAATTTTTGTATTTAATAACTTCACAAATCTAATAATTAAATTAATCATATATTACAAGTTTAATAAATTAATGATAAAATAATTATAAATTATTTTATTAATGTAATGTATTTTTAATAAAAGACATTATTGTTTTTGCAGTTTCATTTTAAATTATACTGAAGTCCTAAAGAATTTGGCTTAGTTTCTAAATTTTACAGAACTTATATGTAATTTTCTCTAAAATGAATGCATTTGATGTCAGCATTTCTAAAAAAATTTGAGGAAAAATGGTTTTCAGTCCATTATTTTGTCCCATTAAAATTCATTCTGTTTTTTTATATTTTCATTTTTATTTCTATTCCCATAAAAAAATATCAAATTTATCAATCGTTGTTCATTAATGTTTGTATTGATTTATTATATATTATTTATCTTTTTACCTGATATTTAATTGATCTTTATATAAAAATTATATAAATATTTTTTGTTAGGCAAAAAGCATACTACTTTCTCCCCAAATTATAAAATAGAAGAGATTTAGTATCTCAAAATATATAATACTTTGATAAAAATAAAATTTTATTAATAATATTTTTTAATATTATCGTTTTCATATATTTTTTCTTTTTAATATTCTTTTATAAATAAAATATTAAATGAAGGATATTTTTAAAAAAATTTATATTTTTATTTTGAAAAAAATAAAGTAATAAAATATATTTAATAAACTTTATTAATACATATAATTTTTTTTGAAAATGTTTTATTGTTTGGGACGGAAGAAATATAATATTTATCACACATATTTATACTTTCAACTTTTAAGCTCATACTAGGAATTGAATTGGAATCCAAATTACTAGGGCTTAGCCATGGAGGCAGAGCAGGAAGACGGGAGAGTTGGCCATGGGTCACGTGGTATTTGAAAGAGCTTCTTACTCTATTCATCTTTTGACTCCGACACCCGGTCCAAGTGAACACGTTCCTTTTATTCGGGAGGGTGCGAGCAAATGATTATGTGACAGACGCAATCAGATGCATGCTCGCGTATAATTTATTTTATTAAGATTTAAGAAATATCTTGTAATTAAAATTTATTGTTATGCAGGATCAGATAATTATCATACTACTCTACAGAAATAAAGTACCTAAATGTAATTAAAGTTTGTTATGAAAAAATAAATCTCACTTTTATTTTAACAATAATTAATTCTTTTGTTAATAATTTTAAAAAATTAACTTGACAGTAAAGGGAAAGAAGTGTTGTAATTTGGTGTGCAAGTTTTCACTTAAGAAAAAATAAGTTTTATTTTTATTTAATAATAATTAATTTTTAATTAACAATTCTAAAATATTAACTTGGTGGTTGAAAAACAGTGTTGTACTATAATGAACAAGTCTCCATTAAAAAAAAAAGTTTCATTTCCAATTCAACAATAATAAATTCTCCCATTGCAACAAATATATATATATAAAGGATAGTTTTGTCTTTTTAAAATAAATTTTAATTATATTTAGGTTCTTTGATATTGCGGAGTAATATTAAAAGTATTTGATCCCATAAAACAATTAATTTTGTCCATCGGCCCTTGACTGTGATTTTCCCTGTTTTAATTTGAGAGCCACCATAGTCTACCAAGGAAGTTGAGAGATGTATGGCTCTCACGCAACCTCGATGCTTTGCCGTTGGCATGATCCCATACACACAGCATGCAATCCTTTTCTTGTCGCAGCAGTGCCTTGGGGATGCGTTGAACGCCAAGTTAGAAAAACAAAACCTGCCCGCCTGAGTAGGAACCCTAGAGCGCCTACATATTAATCCAGAAGGGTCCTTCTCCTTCGGACAACCATGATGGTGGCAAGTCACGACGTCGTTTGCAGGCCCATGATTTCTTGTACCCAGCTCACTACATTGTCAGACCAAACCATGAAAGGTGTAGCTACCGCTCAAGAACTTTTCTAATTCATGCCTTTCACTTTCTCTTTGCTCGTCCCCTTCACACTTTTCTCTGCCTTGAATATTCAAATAAACTGATTAGTGTTTTTTCCCCCTCCTTTTTGATGATATTATGCTTCAGGAAGAAAAGCTCCACCTAGTCACTGCTTAATTAAAATTGAGTCCTTCTCGTTGCTTTCAAAGGCTTCAGTAGAAAATTACACGTCGGAAGCGTTTGAAGCAGGGGGCTATCAATGGCGAGTTCTTGTGCTCTTTTGCATTAAAATTATTTGATTTTGTGTTGATGTGTTTTTTATGCAAGAAAAATGATGACATGCCATTATTGTAGGACTCTATCCATATACCCGACCGGAAGAGCAAGGGAAAATGGATATGTCTCAGTATATCTGAATTTGATAATTTCAAGCTCAAAGTCATTTCCTATCGGTTTGGAGGTCAACGCCATCGTGAATTTGTTTGTGTACAATTTTCTTCATGACGAATATTGTTCTTATCAAGGTATTTTGAAAGTTCGAAGATGCCATTTAGTCATATGTTTTATTGCATTTTTATACCTTGTTGAGTCTAGAGTTAAAAATACGGGCCAACCCAGATCATATGAGTTGGCTCGTATGGCTTAGTATATTCTCAGCTCTATTGCCAGCTCAATCAATTGAATGTGCAGACACAAGCGTGAGGCATTTTCACAAGCTGCAAACTGAGTGGGGTATCCCAAAATTCATGGACCTTCTCTCGTTCGATGATCCTTCAAATGGATATCTGATTGAGGACACTTGCATTTTTGGAGCTGAAATCTTGGTCATCAAGCCTCCTTCCAAAGCAGAATTCTTAACAATGATAGATGAACCCGTTCCTCTTTCTTATAGGTGGAAATTTAACAATTTTTCAAGAGCTAATCTAGAAGAGTACGAGTCCGAGTTCCTTGCTGGAGACTACAAATGGTACGTATGATTATGTGAACAATACCTCCTAACTTCCAAGCCATCTAAGGTAGAAAATTCAGGCGATTTGAACTTATTCAGGTTGAGCTCCATTTAAATTGGGTTTAAAGTATTTTATCATATAAAAAAAGCCCGTATAATCAAACTCGACCCTAATCCCTCATGCTTTTGGGCTGGCTTGAATATCCAAATTATTATATATTATTTTTTATTTTTATCTAATTTTAATTTTAATTTTGAAAAATTAATATTTTCAATTTTTATATTATTTTATTAATAATAAAAAAAATTTTCAGGTGTTCAAGTTAAGCCATTTGAGTTCGACTTGGCCCGGATTTATTCGGTCAACTCAAATAAAATTAGAATAAAGAAAATCTTTTAAACTCTTAAGCCTGACCTAAAGATATTATGGACTTATTCGAGTTGGCTAATTGAGTTTGATCCAAAATACTGTCTAGCCATCACTTACTAATGTTATTTTTTATGGGTGTTTTGGATTTTTTTTTTGGTGGTGTTGTTGCAGGAAGCTTGTTTTCTACCCCAATGGGATAATTGAGGGCAAGGGCAATAGCATCTCACTATTTCTGAGTGTAGACACCTCGTCAGTTCCACCTAACACCAAATTATATGTGCATTACATTTTACGTGTCAAGGACCAAATCAAGGGGCAGGATGCTGAAACTAAATGTGAGATTTACTAAATTGGAAACTTAAATTGAGTCACAGAGTGTGAGTTAAATTCTCAAGATATGCTCACTTGTTTCCCTAATTTTTAGTGTGCAAGCGGTACTTCTCCAGCTCGAATCCCTCATGGGGATCAAGAACGCTTGTGCCACTGGCCAAGCTGAAGGATCCAACAAAGGGCTTTCTAGAAGGAAATAGTTGTATCTTCGAGACGGAGTTTAAAGTTCTGGGTTTAGTTAATTCCCTTTAGTGATCAAGCCACAATTTGTATAATATCAAAGAATTATGGTAACAGTGTGAAATAATTGCATCTTGATGTTCAATCCATTAAATATAATCCCTGGTGGAATATGACCTTTTCATTGAGTGCATTATCACTGAGTTACATGCATGATTTATTTTTTACTGACTTGAGAGTTTAAATTTGAATGATAATCAAGTTTTAGCAAAATAGTATTTATGTATTAAATATAAAATAGTGTCAAAGTTAAAATTTAAGGAAAATGACAGGAAAATTTCATTAAAATATGCACTATGAAACATGATAATTGTTCTCAAGCCCTCTAAGACCTTTCTGACATTATTTTTTTTGTGAAATACTTATAATGCTTTTAAATGTTATAAATATTAGTGACTACTTTAATTTAAATCATAACTACTTTTCTTTGAGAAATTATTAAAATGAGATAGTTTCATTACACAAAATTTTTAATCACTAAAATCCTAATGTTATAAATACTAGTAACTACTTTAGTTTAAATAATGATTACTTTTTTTCTAACAATTACTAAAATATGATAGCAAATGATAAATTTCATTCTACAAATTTTTTAATCAAGAATCCTTTTTTGTCATTTTCTCTAAAATTTAATGCTTTGCAAATATTAATAAATCACTTTTAGTTCTTTTGTTTTTTTTTTGTAACGAAAGGAAACAAAAACAAAAACAAGCTAGCCGTTCATAATGGCAACATCAGACAAAGCACTTTGATCATGATGAAGAAATTGCTGCACAGCTGACGGTGGACAAGCCAGGACCACCGAATCTGAAGAATGGGCTCAAGCCCCGTTGGCTAAACCATCCGCTGCTCTATTAGCTTCACGATCACAAGGACTCACGTCGGAAACCCATTCCCTTCCAAGCGTGCTTCGAATTTCCCTTACTATATAAATGATGACACTCTGCATCTCCCATTCCCGAGCCAACTTCAAGGCCCAGAGAACCCCCTAAGCTTCTGCCGTAAAAGTAGATCCCGCACTTAGCTTGAATATGAAACCTCAAATTAACTTGACAGTCCCCTCGTTCGACGACGCCCACTTTACTCCTCAATTCTATCATGTTTGGTCGACCCTCAACCAAAGAAAGGTGAGAGATGGAGAACTCTCACGCAACGTTGATGCTTTTTCATTGGGGATGAATTGAACATGAAACTAGAAAAACAAAACCTGCTCGCGCGAGTTGGAATCCTAGAGCGCCTATATATTAATCCAGAAGGGTCCATCGGACAACCATGATCACAAGTCACGACGTCGTTTCCAGGCATATGAGTTTTTGTGCCCCCATTCCATTGTCAGACCTACCCATGAAAGGTGTAGCTATTTCTCTTTGCTCGTCCCCTTCACACTTTTCTCTGTCTTGAATATTCTAATAAACTGATTATTGTTTTTGTATCTTTTTCCCTTTTTTGTTGATATTATACTTTAGGAAGAAAAGCTCCGCCTACTCATTCCTTATTCAAAATCAAGTCCTTCTCGTTGCTTTCAAACGCTTCAGTAGAAGAATACACCTCGGAAGAGTTCGAAGCAGGGGGCTACCAATGGCGTGTTCTCGTGCTCTTTTGCATTAAAATTATTTGATTTTGTTGACGTGTTTTTTATGCAGAAAAAATGATGACATGTCATTATTGCAGGACTCTATCCATATACCCGACTGGCAGCAAGAAAAAAGGCGCGCAATTTGATGCATCTCAGTATAAATTTGATATAGCCGAAGGTTGTTGGGCAAGAAAAAGTGATCATATCTCAGTATATCTAAATTTGATGCTTTCAAGCTCAAAGTCACTTCCTATTGGTTGGGAGGTCAATGCCATCGTGAATTTGTTCGTATACAATTTTCTTCGTGACGAGTATTGTTCTCATCAAGGTACTTTGAAAGCTCGAACAGGCCATTTAGTCAGATGCTTTATTGCATTTTTATACCTTGCTGAGTGCTCACTCAATCAATAAAATGCGCAGACGCAAACGTGAGGCGTTTTCACAAGCTGCAAACTGAATGGGGTATCCCAAAATTCATGGACCTTGCCTCGTTCAAGGATCCTTCAAATGGATTTCTGATTGAGGATACCTGCGCTTTTGGAGCCGAAATCTTGGTCATGAAGCCTCCTTCCAAAGAAGAATTCTTAACAATGATAGATGAGCCCGTTCCTCTTTCCTATAGGTGGAAATTCGACAATTTTTCGAAAGCTAATCTAGAAAAGTACGAGTCCGAGTTCCTTGCTGGAAACTACAAATGGTATGTGTGATTATGTGAACAATGCTTCCTAACTTCCATGCCATATAGGGCAAGTAATTCAAGCGGGACATGCTCAATTCTAATCAAGTTTAAAGTATCTTATCATATAAAAAAAAACTCATATGACCAAGAATGACCCTAATTCTTTTGACTTTTGTGTTGGCCTGAATATTAAATTATGAAATATTATTCTATTTATTTTTATTTTTTATCTAATTTTAATTTTTATTTGAAAAATTAATATTTTTAATTTTTATATTATTTTATTAATAATAAAAAAGAATTTGGGTTTTCGGGCTTAGCCCATTTGAGTTTAACTTGGCTCAAATTTATTTAGATTTATTCAAGTGGCTCGAATAAGTTCAAAATAAATAAAATCTTTTAAATTTCAATTCTAGTCCAAAGATATTTCAAGCTAGCCCACTGAACTTAGCCCAAAATAATGCCTCTAACTATCACTTACTAATGTTATTTTTAAGTGTGTTTTGAATTTTTTTCTTTTGGTGGTGGTGTTGCAAGAAGCTCATTTTCTACCCCAATGGGTTGCTTGAGGGCAAGGGCAACAGTGTCTCACTGTTTTTGAGTATAGACACCTCGTCAATTTCACCTAACACTAAACTATATGTGCACTACATTTTACGTGTCAAGGACCAAATCAAAGGGCAGCATGCCGAAGCAAAATGTGAGATTTACTAAATTGGAAACTTTAACTAAATCACAAAGTGTGTTTTAAATTCCCTCAAGATATGTTCACCACTTTTTCCCTATTTTTTAGTCTATAGGCACTTCTCTAGCCCAAATCTTACATGGGGATCAAGAACGCTCGTGCCATTGGCCAAGCTAAAAGATCCAACAAAGGGCTTTTTAGAAGGAAATAGCTGTATCTTTGAAACGGAGTTTAAAGTTCTGGGCTTAGTTAATTCCCTCTAGTAATCAAGCCATAGTTTTGTATTATATCAAAGAATTATCATAACATTGTAAAAGAATTGTATTTTGATATTCAATCCATTAAAAATTCCTGGTGGAACATGACCTTTTCATTGAGTGCAGTATCATAGACTTGCATGATTTATTTTTTATTGATTTGATAGTTTAATATTGATTGATAATCAAGTTTAAGCAAAATACTATTTATGTATTAAATATAAAAAAGTGTCAATGTTAAACTTTAAGGAAAATGACAAGAAAACCTCATTAAAATATGCAAATGATAAAAGGTCTCGCAAAATATTATAATTATTTTCAAGTTCTCTGAGACCTTTCTGATATTAATGGGTTTTGTGAAATAACTATAATGCTTCTGAGTGTTCTAAATATTAGTTACTATTTTGATTTAAATCATGATTACTTTTTTTTTGAAATGGCTAAAATGAGATAGCAAATGACAAGTTTTATTATACAAATATTTTTAATCACTGAAATCCTAGTGTCGTAAATAATAGTAATTACTTTGATTTAAATAACGACTGCTTTTCTTCTAGCAACAATTAAAACATGATAGTAAATGACAAATTTTGCTCTATAAATTTTTCAGTCATTGAAGTAGTTCAAGTGTTACAAATAGTAGGGATTGTTTTTTAGTTTAAGTAATGACTTTTTTTTCTTTTCACAACAATTATAATGGGATAAGTAATTACAAATTCTCCATCACAAACTTTTTAATCACTAAGTCCGGGTATTATAAATATTAATGATTACTTTAATTTAAGTAATTATTACTTTTTCTTTGACAATAATTAAAATGAGATAGAAAATGCAAATTTTTTTAACCATGAATTTTTTTTGTCATTTTCTCTAGAATTTAATGCTTTACAAATATTAATAAATAATTTTTATTTCTTTTTTTATATAAGAAAGGGAAAGCAAAACAAAAACAAAAACAAACCAGCTATTCATAATGGCAGCATAAGTCAAAGCACTTTGATCGTAATGAAGAAATCGCTGCACAGCAAATCTGAAGAATGAGCTCGAGCCAAAAGCATCCGCTGCTCTATTGGCTTCACAATCACAAAGACTCAAGTCGGCAACCTATTCCCTTCCAAGCATGCTTTTGAATTTCCCTTATTATATCAGCATCCCACTTCACAATTGAATCCAGTTTGTGAACAACATGCACCAAGCTTTCGCCGTAAAAGTAGATCCCGCACTAAGCTTGAACATGAGACCTCGAATAAACTCAACGTGGCGGTTCCATACCAGCCCTCCACATGCACTGCACACTCACCAGAGATTAAGCATCGAGATGCATCAACATTAAACTTGACAGTGCCCCTATCTGGCGGCAGCCACCTAACTCCCCTTTGTGCTAAACATCCAGTTCTATAATGTTCATGAGTCGACCCCCAACCTAGGCATGCCCGAGTTCGAGCAATGAGTTCCTTACTTCCAGCCCGTCGATGTTGAAAAACCCATTCATTCCTGGCTAACCAGACATTCATGCACTGCACAGGGTACTAGAGCTTCCATTCATAGACATTCACATACTTTAGACTCCTATTATTCCATTGAATCCAACCCTTTATATCATCCTCACGAAAGAAACTCCCTCGCCAGTCATGTGGCTTGCAAGAGAGCCAAACTTGAGGAGCGTAGGTGCTGACAATCACCTACGCCATACATCGTTATTTCTACTTCCCCACAAAACCTCACAAACACCTGATCCATGCATGCCCCTACGCATCCTAGCCGTATTGGTTAGCAACTTCTCGTTGCCTATCTACCATAAATGCAAAGGAACAGAGATGAGAGAAGATTTTAATGAGTTCAATTGAACAGAGAGGATAGAAGATTTTAATGAGTTCAATTTTTAAAAATGAGTAGAAGATTATTTTTTTTAATATAGATAAAATGCAAAGGAGATAAGTAAACAAAAATAACTTACAAATTTTAAACCACGCTTATCTATATAATAATTTGTTATATTTTATAATTTGTTATCCTATATGTATGAACTAAAAAATGCACTTGTGCAAACATGAGTTTTAACGATATATTTTTTGTCACAGTTTATCAAATAATTGTGATAATAATATACTTAATGGAAAATATGTAAATAAATTAAAAAATGTAGCATTTATGGCCACAGTCCCATAAAGAATTGTCATTATAAATGCCTAAGTGATAATTAAATAAAGTAATAAAACTAACTAATTAAAATACATTTTCAATTAATTTTTCAATTTTGTGTGAATTCAAAAAAAATTAATTCAATCTAACTAAAACTTAATAAATTGATTAATTAAATTAAGTTATTAATTAAAAATGCACTTGCGCAAACATGAGTTTTAACGATATATTTTTTGCCACAATTTATCAAATAATTGTGATAATATTATAGTTAATGGCTAATATGTAAATAAGTCAAAAAATATAGCATTTATGGCCACAGTCTCATAAAGAATTGTCATTATAAATGCCTAACAGACAATTAAATAAAGTAATAAAAAACTAATTAAAATACATTTTTAATTAATTTTTCAATTTTGTGTGAATTCAAAAAAAATTAATTCATTCTAACTAAAACTTAATAAATTGATTAATTAAATTAAGTTATTAATTATAATTTTAGTGTTTTCAAATTAAATTAAGTTATGTAATAAGTTTTGGCTGAGGGGTAATTCCCTCAGATATTAAAACAAAAATTAGCTAAAGGGTAAACTCCTAAGCTATTAAAAAAAATTATTACATGACTTATTATTACAAAAAGGCAGTTCTACTATCCTAATTCACGTCACATTTTGAAAATGAGATTTAGAAAGAACACAATCCATGTCACCCAAACAAAAAGAGGACATGCATTGAAAAAAATTATTTTTTTAATTTTTAATAATCTTTGTCCACCATGATCTGGGTCCCCAAGGAGTAGGGGAACATAGATTCTTTAAAAGCCACGTCCCATAAAGAGGAGGGGGACGTGTATTCTCAAATCTATGTCCCTATAGAGGAAGGGGATGTGGAATCTTGTGTTTTTGAGCCTCGCATTTGCTTCATTTTTCAAAACCCACTCTCTATTTTTCTTAACTCATCCTTGTCTCTATCTCTCATCTCTCAACTCCCTCCCTCATTCTCTATCCTTGTTCTGTCTCTCCCAACTTCCTCCCTATTTTTGTCTCTCATCTCCATCTTCGGCTATCACAGCTCACTGTCTCATTTTTTTCAAAACTCACGTCCTCTCCCAGCTGCTCTGTGTCAACAAAGCTCCAACACTCATGACTTAAAACCTCTATATTGGCGAGACCTGTCTCTTGTTCCTTCCCGTTGCCCCTCTCCTCTCCTCTTCTCTACTAAACCACGCTAACTCCAGGTACTATTTCTTTCTTTCTTTCTTTTATTTAAAGTTTTCTCCACACCTAGCTTTGCCTCTATATTATGCCCAATTTATTTTTTCTAATTTATTTCCAATTTATTTTCCCACATTATGTCCACTTAAGTGATTTATTTGCTCTAATTTAATTAGATAGTATAATAAAAATTAAGATAATACTACACTTGAAAATTTGTGATAATGGTTAGGTCTTCCTTGCTTGTATATATTTTGTCAAATTTTATCTAATTGAATTATAGATTTATATTATAAATATACATACATATATATATATAAAATATTTTAGATAATATTATAATTATAGAATAATAGGTCCTCCGTGCATTAAACCTTCCACCCAAAATAACTAAAAATAATACTTTAGTTTTTATTTATACAGAGAATATATAATAATGGTAAAAAAGAAATTCATGCATTGAATTTAATTTGATGTCTATTATATCCATAAGGAAGCCTATAAGATATGGGAGTCCCTGGTAATAAGATACACTATTGAGGATGCCGGTAAACAAAAGTTCATTGTGGGAAACTTCTATAAATAGGAAATGATCGAGAACAAGGATGTGAAGGAGCAAATCAATGAATATCACAAGTTGCTGGAGGAGCTTCGTGCTGAAAACATCAACCTCCTAGACGAGTTTGTTGCTAGAATCCTGATTGAGAAGCTACCAGAATTGTGGAATGAT